CCCCCCCCCCCTCCTCCTCCTCTCCCGGCATCTCTGCTTCCGCCACCGTTGCTTCTCCAAACCGGAGGCAGCAGGACCGACGACGGTTTTGCGGAGAAGCCCGGCGGAGGGACGACATTCAGCGTGGCATCTCGGACCTCGCCGGGACCTGAATACGTTACCACGAACCTCACAGTCATGGAGACAACGCCAGCTTGACGCTGCTTCTCCTGGTGCCCCTCCACGGCGGCCACCGACAAAGGCGGCAAGGACCGCAAAGATCCGTCGTAGGAACCCCGTCGGGCGTCGTCGTCGTACAAGCTCCCCGCCGCCCGTCCATCACCGTCCCGCCGGCCCTGTTGCTGCCTTCCTTCTCTTCTCCCGTCGTCTAGAAACCGCGGGACCTGCGCGTGGAGGGTTAGTTTGCCCGCTGGTGGCCGCGCGGAGTCGGTCTGACTCCGCCGGATGATCTGCGGAGAACACGACACGCGGAATCGAATGGCAAAGCGGATGAAAGGATGTCGCCGGTGTGATAGATAGACGTTGTCTCACGGGCTTCGACACGGCTTGGTTGCCAGAAAATGACCCACCCAACACGCGTTCTGCGTCTGCGCCGGAGATCCCCCTCGTGGTCAGTCTTGCATGGCACCCACCTGCAACAGCTTCCGGTGCTCCTGATTTATCTGGTCGTAGTCAATGTCCTTCCTCTCGGCAGCCACTACGGCCGACGTGGGAGGGTCAGTCCCCTGATAGCATGCGCTCAGGACCCCGGTATCGTCTAAGCTGCACACAATGCCGGGCACGGCGCCAAACTTAGCCACGGTGAGCGCCACGGGGGCACGTCTCACCGTCGCCTGCCACACTAACTGCAGGTCCTACATGCGGTAAGCCAACCGCCGTGAAGAAGCGGAACAGACGAAGGACAAGACGGCGCGTCGAAATACGGCGGGCTTCTGCTTCGCTGGGTATGGACCGACGATGTGCCGCATGGGGGGATCAGCCAGGTAGTGTAGCTGTAGCACCGGTAGAGTACACAGGTGAACTCAGGGTTATCGTTTCCTTGGAATCGACCTCTACTGCAGAATTGTAGCGTTGCAGTTACTACGTTCGCCCCGCCGTTACACGATCCACCCTCTCTACTGCCCGTTCGAAGGTCGTAATCTGACTGCTGCCCTACATGAGTTCAGTGTTCTTGCACGCGACGCCGCCGCTCTATCGCTCAACTCACTTTGTACACCATCAGCTGGTCAGTATCCGCCCCGATGACGAGGTTCTCCTCTTCGACGACGGTGGCAAACCCTTCGTCGATCTCCTTCACCGTCGTGCCTGTCAGCCCCGCGCCCTTCTCTCCGGGGCCGGCAACCACCACGTACTTACACGCGCATGCCGGCTGGTAACCGAGAACCTTCTGCAGTCGTACGGTTCCCTGCTCGCGCAGAGTGAAGAGGGTTCGTTCGCCCACGACAACGATATCGATGCACCCGGGTCCCAGCGCGCGGCTAAACTTGGCGACGAACACGTCCAGGACGGCTTCTCCCAGCTGGCAAGACCAGTATGCCTGCAGCCCGCGAGCGGCGGAGATGCCTTCACTTCTCCCTTTCTCTCGGTCCTCCTGGCTGGCGGCTAGCGCCTGCGCGTTCGCACGTTCGATATTCAAGTCTAGTAGGAAATATATGTGTGCGAGGGTTGACAAATGTAGCTCCTGTTTTTCGATGATGAACTGGAAGGATATCAAGGACGCGTCAGAGAACATTGGGGAGAGAGAGAGAAAGAGAGAGATAGATTCGATCGGCGGCAACGTGCATGACTGAAATGCACTCGACACAAAAACGCCAGCTGCTGTTGCGCCTTGATCGAAGGGTTCGTGTGCTGGGATGCCAACCAGGGCAAATCGACTACCGTGAATGACACAAGATAACACACCTACATAGGAAACCACACCCCCAACAGAATACGACACCCCCGTGATACTTTTGGGCGTTTCTGACAACCATCGATTGATCACCCGGGATACACAAGATAGGACAATCCGGTGATAATTAAGGACACGCCCCATTCATTCACGGGGCCCCTCCTTTTGTCACCGGGGTGGCGGCATCTGCCCCTGTGGGCATCACACACAACATACACCCTTCGTGTGCGGGAAACGCCATGCTTGGAGACCTTCAACAACATGAACGTGCAGGAAGAAGAGCAGACTACCGCGTTGCAAGTACCTCCGCTTCTTCCACAACTGCTTCGACCGCAGCACAGGCGCAACAGATCATCTTGTTCGTTCAACCCGAGCCAACTTCTTCTACGCAAGCGGCTCCTGCCACGGCTCCTCCTCCTGCTGCAGTTGATCTAACAACAGCAGCAGCTGGCACAGCAGCAGGCGCCAACATGACAGCCGCCGCCAGTTGCTGACTCGCTCTCAGAAGCACGTACAAGTACCGCATACGAGTCAACACGCACCACCAAAGCCTCTCAGCTGGTGTTGGTGGACACCCCCTCATTATCACACCGTCAGACGCACCCTGTGAGTGTTCGGACAGGCTGCGATAAATGTCACACCCCCTTTTTATCACACCTCCCCATTTATCACACCCCCAAACACAACCTGTGAGTGTTCAGACGTGCTTTCACACACCCCGGTTTATCACACCCCCTTAGGGGCCCCGGCGAGCTGCACTTTGTCACCCGGGGTGCATAAGATAGACACCCGCCACAGGATACCATACCCGGTGATAATATTTTGAAACCCAAAAATGTTACCACCGTGGTGTGTTATCTTGTGTCATGTACGGTACATGCCACCCTGTTGCTCTGGATGAAGAGCACCTGCCAACTGCCGGTGGCTCGCAGCTGTTTTGGTTGGTTGGTTAACTTTCGTGTCCGCTACCAGTCTATGTCCACCCCATTATTTTCCGTCCCACCTCTAGCTCCCAAAACCTAGTCAAGAGCCTGAACATGAAACCCATGCATTTACCTGATACTTGTAGCAGTCAACGCCCATCTCGCTGTTGCCCACCACAAACGCGTCGATTTTCGCCACGTAACACAACGGTCCAGGGACCAATATGCCATTCAATCGCCGTGTGAAAGCGTGCGCGTCCTGTTCAAAGATCTTTAAAGATCGCGAGAGGTGAATAGGATTCTGTGAGGACGCGGCGCGGGTATACGTGGTCTGCCCCAGCGGAACACAGAGGTCACGGAACGGTGGAGCAGAGAAGATGCCACTATGGAAGAAAAAGTGTTGGGATATGCACGCTTGCGGTACTCGAGGGGCTATTTATTTTATTTCTTCGCTGCTGAATTCACCCCGCGAGTCTTGCGCAAGTGGTGGACACCAACTGTGTAGAAGCGACGTGTATCAACTTCAAAAAATGCAAGGATATGTACATAGCTCGTGCTTGTGCCAGCAACGTCATGTAGGGCTTCAGTAACGGCGGGCTCAACTCACAAACCTTAGTACTAGCTTACGACACCAATAACGTGCCGGCAACAACTGCAAAACTATTCGTCGCAACAGAACCAACAATTTCGATACCTGCAGGCGACCATCCATACTCTGCACACACAGCAGATCCCGTGATATGCCCCCAAATCCTCCGTGCGTCATATTGCAGGAGGTGAAGTGCCCCCCTCCCTCGATCCCGAGCACGTGCTCATACGCCTTGACCAGGTCAAAGTAGCTCGCCTTTGCTCCGGTCCCGCCCACGGCTTCCACGGTATAAACCCCGAGCTTTCGAGGGTGAAGCACCGCGATAGCGTTGATTTGCGGAGCAGACCTGACACCCCCGATTCCGCATTGACAAGGCACCGTGTGTATCCGCGTTGTGTCATTTGAATGGATGTGCACCTACTTGTAGACTGTGCTGCATGCTATGCTGCTTGAGTGGCGGAAGCAGAGGTGCAGTTTGTGATGCGCACCAATCCCTAACCTCGCGTTTTCTGCCAATATGAACGCGAAGACCGATATGTACGTCCAACAAAAGTCGACATGTACTTCCAACATGTCGCGGAGCGCTGACTTAACTAATGGTGTAACGATTGGCGATACAAGTTCCAAGCACGGGTTCGAGTCCCGGCTACTCACTTTCCCAAAATACCATAAAGTTCTTTTCAGGCAGCGTCTGGCGAGGGGTCCGTCCCCGGAGATCCCTGCTCTCAATAAGCCATAAACCCAAATGATCCAGCCGGGTGCTAACGAGCTGAGCGTATATCTTTTGTAAGATAAATTTACACCATTAGACTAGTCAGCGCTGACTGAGTAGTCTAACGGGGTAAGCCTTTCTAACATGCTACATGTCGAACTCGATGTAGCGTAGAGTACCGCCAACAATGTGTCAGCAAACCACACCTCCTAGCCGTCTGTCATGATGAAACTCACGGAATAAATCGCCCAACGGAAACTTGGAGTATCGGGGTGCCAAGATCCTGCTCCAACAGGAGGTCCTCGATGCGAAAGTCGGCCTTCACGGGGTGGTGCACTCTCAGCACTCCCTGAAAGCTTCCCGTCACAACCTTGACGCCGCCCATACTGTCGTTGTCAACATTACCCAGGGCCATGGATCCTTTGTCGAACTCTTCCCCTTCCCCGAGCTTGGTTGACCACCATTCTCGGGCTCGAAACAGCGACATCGCGCAGTATATGCGTGGGCTTTCGTTTCACGCCTTTCCTCTCTGACGGCGGGGTTGCCTCAACGGCGTCTCCGCAGGATACCAAAAAAATAGATCGCGGTTCGTCGCTGCTTCTTCGTTCCCCCAAACCACCTACGCAGGGTGTGTGCCTTCACCCAATTTTATGACATGATATTATGACGTGGGTGAAGCACACGTGGGCTCGAAGAGAAGAGGTCTCCCTCGCGTCTACCTTGCAGCTTTTGCAGCTCGTACGCTCGTACCCGCCGGAGGTCTTTCAAATCTTAAGACAGATCTCCGAGTTTCGGAGATCTGCCGGGGACTCGATGGAGCGGATAATAGGGCAGGGGTACCATTTCAAAGGGGTCATAGCCGCAGCGGTGCGGGTGGCTCCTGCGGCCTCGACGACGCACACCCCTTCCCCTTCGTCGGCAACGACACCACTCCGCAACCATGGTGAGCAGTGTAGACAGTACTCGTGGAATGGCGTTTCGGCACCTGTGTGCCCGCCACATGAGCCTGCTTGATTGGGATCAAGAGCAGAGTATGGCCCGAACGGGGTTGTTTGGTGTGCAACACACCCACGAGCAGCAGAGGCACCGTAGCGAAGTCCAGTGTCACCAAACCCAAAGCTCACCACGATTTTTCACAGAGAGCTGCGGTCTGCTTGGTACCCTTTAATTCGGCTGTCGGGAGCGTGAATGCCGGGAAACTGGGAAGCGTTAGGAAGATGGTCAGTTGATTTGCAGGGATGGCGCCGTTGTGAGCAGCGCCCTTTGCCCCACAAGTGCGTAAATCTCACGGCCACAGGCTCGAGCTTGTTGTCGTTTTCCTGATTTCCAGCTGGAAGACAGAAAGTTGAAAGGCGTCGTTGATAACTCCCTTTGGTTGTCTTTGAGTCCCGACCTGCAGTGTGTAACGGCACATGGCCGAGGAGGTGAGGATGTGGTCTTTCTGCTGATGTTCCACACGTGAGGCATATGTTGTACTCTCAGTCAAATATTAGGTGCAGCAATCTTTCACCCATCCAGGAGTCACCCGATGTACGGAGGAGCGTGTTGGCCGCGCCGGTGGTAACGTGGGGCGTGTCGTGTGGGCTGCTTCCTACTGCTGTATGAGCCTGTACGCTCTATTCACCGCGTTCTCACCCTCCCCACGCTCCGTTACGCCCCCTGTCTCACTCCTGTTCCTGCTAATGTTAATGTTTCACCAACGCTGGATCACGAAATCACCAGCCGCCGAAGACGCAGCAAAAGTCGAAGGAGCAGAAGATGGCGGCCGCCATGGCTGGCGGCAAGGGCCGCAAGAAGGTCAGTACGAGCAGCTGAAAGGGGAAAGTAAAAAAACAGAACAAATGCGGCGGCTTGGTTCCCCCAATGCTCCTTTATTACGATGCCCAGAAAATGTGGTGTTGGGCGTGTAATTGGATATCGAGGACGGAGCTACCATGCTTCATGGCTATCCAGTGCTCAGGTTTTGTTTTTCGCCGCAGAGCTCTGGTAGGATGGTTGCTGTATAGTAGCTCCAGTAATGCACAAATTGTGGTGGTGTATGAGTGAGCCATGCGATACGCGGATGCTGGTCTATCAGACATCTGCGTCGGGTGTCTACTGCATGCACCCAATGGCACCAGAAGTGCCACCGCATCCAAAGATCCAGCGAGCGGTGCACTTTGCACCGCAATGGTTTGCAGTGCTTGCCGTGTTCTGTCCCGTTGGCGATAGCGCATCGGGGCATGTCACGCAATCTCTTGGTGGAGTGCACGGCCATGCACGCCATTTGCTGGTACGCTCTTCTCTTGTTGTTGCCAAGTCAAACTGTCGATTCGAAAGATAATTGTTTAGCTTCTACGATGTTGAGTGAGAAAGATCCGGGGTGGGCCATTGTGATGTTGAGCGTTCCCTTCTTGAGTAGTTGGAGAGCACGTTCAATTTCCAGGCACATTGGCAAGCCATAAACACGAAAGACACAACGGGTGTGGCATCCTCTGTTGCTGAAAAGACAGCGGACACAACATTCTGCATATTTTACCACAGTTGGTAGCTGGGTTTCCGTAGCAGCCACGGTCATGCCGCGTAAGAACATCTAGTGCTGCAGTCTGATGGGCGGACCGAAATGATGCCTCCAGCGGTTCTTGGCTCCAAGTTGTGGTCGATGCCAAGTCGGGGGGCGTCGTCTGTTCTTGTTTATTTTGGCGAAGCCATCCTTGTGACAGGACGCCTCTGACACTCAACACCGGCTGGCGTGCGGCTTGTGTCGGGTACATGTTGCGGTTTCGTGGAAAATCGACCGCACCACTAATTGCGCATATAACGTTTCAGATGAATTGCCTGGGGCATAAACGTGTCTGACTGGTGCTAACCCTGTATTTTTTTCCCACCGTCGGAGCTTGCGTTACCCCCTCAAAGGTTAAATGGCGTGACACTGAGGGTTTGGTTTTTGAAATTGCGTTCTGGCTCGGCGCTCTCACCATTTGTTCCCCGTGAACTTCCCGCTACTGTTGTCTCGTGTACTATTCGTTGCGTCTCCCTTGCCAAGGCATCGTCCTACTCACGTTGCTGACATTCGCGTCTCTTTTTCCCTTTGGTTGCTTGGATATCGTCGTGTTGCCGCTGTGTGTGTGTGCGTGTCCATGGGGTTGTGACGAGAGCAGAAGTGGTCCAAGGGAAAGGTCAGGGAGAAGGTGGCCAACCAGGTCCTCTTCAACGAGGACACCTACACCCGTTGCCTGGCTGAGGTGCCCAAGGTGAGAGGGCTCTTGGTAAGGTCGTTTGGTTTCAAACGAAATTGGTGTATTTGTAAAGATGCCCGCATTGCGAGTAACGTTTCGGAGATCCGGACGCCGAGAGGAGGGCAACTCGTGCAGAGGAGGGACGTGGTCCCGGAGACAACGCCACCCTTGACAACCGGTCTTTTTAGGCGGGAGAAGGGACGGGAAGGCTCCAAGAGTCTAGAAGGGAGAGGCCCCGTACACTACGTAGAACAAGAGACGATACGACGGGAGCAGGAGACAACGAGATACACCAAAAACAATAAAACGACTTTTCCACCCTAGAGAAGTCGGTTGCCCTGTGCATTGATGATACACCAAGGGCATCGACCGTTGGGTGGAGAATACCCTTCATTGACCGTTGAGTGGGCAAGGCCCTCAGTTGATCATCAACGCAGTTGGGCAGCCGAGTTCTCTGGCGTGGAAAAGTCCGTTGTTTCTATTTCAGTGTGTATCTGGTGGTCGCCTGCTCCCAGAGCTTCGGTGTCGGTCTCTTATTCTACGTAATATTCGGGGCCTCTCCCCTCTTGACCTCTCGGTGCGCTGAGTGTCCTCCCATAACCGTGTTTCCAGGGTTGGTGCTATCCATCTCCGGAATTAGATAAGCGGTCTACGGATGGGGGCTGACTATGAGGAAACAGTATTGTCTGGGGAAGTCCGCAGATCTTTGAAAAGTTTTTTTTGTTTTTCTTGCGCTGGCATGCACCATTTGCCGAGCTTGTCAGTATGCGTCCACGTTGACGTCGTTGCTCGCTAATCCTTCCCTGAAGAAGCAAACTGCATGCTATTTTTTTTTGTTGTCTACCATCATTGGACTCTGTCGTCTGCCCCTCTGGCCCCTATCCTCCACTTCTACCAGCTAGAGGACCGAACCGGGGTCACATAGGAGGGGGGGAGGGGGGGGTTGGACCCCCTCCTGCGGTTCCTGCCTGAGATTTTTTAATCGCGAGAAGGGTACAGCATTCCTTTCCCTCGCGACTCATGAAGTCGATCAAGTTTACTAACAACGAGCTATGTAACCTGTCGGAAATGACGGGGTTCCATAGATGGGAAGGCCGGTAAGGTACGCGCTCTCGTGCTTGGTCAACTACCACAGTATTTTTAAGGCGAAAACTGGTTTTGTGTTGACCCCCTTCCTACTGCTGGTGCTGGTGCTTGTTGTCTCTGGGAATCGTGCGATTCTTATTGCGTGTGTCGAGGTGTACCTGCGGCGTGCGATTGACTGATGCGCTTCGGTCTGTTCACCTCCTCAGGCGTCGTGCTGTCCCCTTTCGTTGAGACCGTTTACTGTTATGGAACAACATGATATAGTAGCAATTGAAGCAGATATCGCACAGTGGACAACCCCACGGCCCTTCTACGGCCCTCACAAATGGTGACACACAACGCACACCATCATGCATGCACCCACGTTGCTGATTGTGACCTCCTCGTTCCGTCGACGCCGCTGTCGCTTGCGCTCTCACTCTCGCTTTGTTTTTTGTGCCCGGAAACACGCCGACAACCAACAGATGAAGCTCATCACTGCGTCGGGGTTGGTGGAGCGCCTGAAGGTGAACGGGTCGTTGGCACGGGCTGCCATCCGCGAGCTCGAGGAGAAGGGTCTCATCAGGAAGGTCGACGCGCACCATGCGCAGGTCATCTACACGCGCGCCACTAACGTGGAGGAGTAGATCATCTCGGTGTCCTTTCTCTCCTTGTCCCTTTCATCTCAGAAGGGGCAAAAATGAGAGAAATTGAAACCCTCGAAGAAGAGCAAGGAAGGACGTCAACACGTCGTGTGCTTGATCAGTTTGACGCATGCATGTGTTGTCGTCCTTCTTGTTTTCGTTGGGGGTGTCTTGCTTGAGCTTTGTGGGCCTTTCCTTTTTTTTACTCCCACGATCCTCTTCGGAGGACGGAGCGTGGAAAGGGTGAAAGACCGGCGGTTCATGTACAAGATGAAGCGGGTGGGGTGTGACACGGAAAGGGGAGAGAGGGGGGGGGGCTGTTGCTTGGCGATGACCCTCTTTTTCTCTCTTTGCTCTGTGTTTTGCCCTTTTTGGTGCTGAGGGACGCAAGGGGTCGCATACACGCACGGGTTTTCGTAGTGCTTCTTTCTGCTCTGCGACTGAGTGTGTATCAATTCAACGTTCTCTAGCGTGCGTCGGAGTGTGTACATGTCACCTGGTTGGGTGCGGCGTTGCCTGGCAGCCTGTGAGATATGGCAGGATCGGTTGTGCTACCGATGCGCTTGATTCCCGATGTTTGTGGTCGATGACTCACTTGCGAGGATGTTCATGTCGTGCAGCGCTGTTCTGTCACGCATGCGCCCGGTGGCGGGCACCACTTTGGATTTGTGGGCGTCGTGTCTTTTCCCGCAGTCTGTCGTTTTGCTGCGATACGCGTTTCCGCCAACATGGGTTGGAACGCCCATGTCCTCCCTGTGCCCTGGTGCCATACAGGAGCGAAAGTGAGGGGCCCACGACGTGTTTCCTCTTTAGAAGCAGTAGACGTGGACAAGTTGACGGCAGCCGTTTCGATACCTGTTGCACGAGCGCTAAACAGCGGTAGAGAAGCGTCCTGCCTGCCCTTTTGCCCCAAGCAGACAAGGTTGGTCCACACTGGCGCTGTGCAGAGTACCACTTATGCTCCATCACGATAGTCACGAGGCCTCCATTTTTTTGGTTTCACCCATGTCCGCAACTTCAAGATGTGTATCTGAATTTCCTCTGCCCCCGCTCAAAAAATATATAAATACCTCTGCTGACACAAGAGGACACAACACATTACCAAAATCTATGCAGCGGGGCACATAGCGCACGGTAGATTAATTCGCTGGTCGTCACAGGAGAGGTGGTTCGGCTGTAATCAATGCCGTCTACACACACGGACGCGGTTACGTTTTAATGGGCGTCGGACCACGACCCCTCGGCAGTGGGTTTGAAGCGCGGCAAATAAAGAACAAAGATGCTGTCGTTAGAGTTTTCTCTCCAGATGTCCAGTTTTCTCCTGCTCAATCCTGTCGCACCGGTGCCTTTCGGTAGGGCCGGCCTGCATGTGCTGTGAACAACTACGAGATTTGGTGGCTAATACAAGCTAGGTTGTCCGGGGTCGGGGGCCTGCACTCGAACGCCTCCTGAAATTATTCGGGTTCTGCGGGTGGAACTTTCGAAACATATCTGTAGCAAACCCACATTCAATCAGCGCCGCCGCGAGCGAGCGACGAGACTGCTGCACAACATCAATCCATCAAAGGCATGCACAGCGACAGCAGTAAGAGGACTGGTGCAATTCGATAAGTCCATGGCGTGCACAGCTCTGACACCACCTACGGCTGACATTTTCAGCGCAAGCCGAGTGGTGCTGCCGGCATTCTGTCCTTCTTCAACGAGTGCCTTTGCTGCCCTCTCTCGGCAACAACAGCAGCAGCTACCTCGCAGCAGTCGAGCAGCAGCGCGCAAATCCGCGCTAGCTATTCCCAATAGCAGCATCATTGGGGCGGTGAGGAAGAGAAGGTGAGTCCACGATACCCTCTGAGGTCTGAAGCGGATGTTGGTCATCGGTGGCAGGTAGATAGAGAATCATGAGTACTTTAGACAGCGGTCATATTCGCGTCTGGTGGCAGCAGTAACCCCTATATAGTCTAATAGACTTGCAGCAGCCGAGACGAGGTACTCTACCCATCAGCCACGCACGATTCCCCAATGCCCACTTCCCCTCCTAGCCTTTTCCCGTGTTGACTCCGTCGTCAATACCGCCATACACCTTCACCAGCTGCAAGTGCCTCTCCAGTGGCGGACAATGGTTGAGTTTGTTGTGTACGCGTACATTTGCGTACGATTCACCGAAGGACGACGGTGGTATGTTACCCTGTCCATAGCCGTGGGTGCCCCTTGCTGTGCAAGAACTGGAGCACCGCTTCTGCCACTTTCCGCCATTTTCAGCAGCTGACAGATCCCATTTCCTCGCCACGCTGTTGATGCCATTTGTCGTTGGTTTGCTGAACGCGTGTTGCATCGTCGTCTTCAGTACTGCTGTACTCGAGACCGTCGTTTCTAGTCGCTTCCACGCCCCCCCTGCCCGGCAAGCATTATTGAGGCGTAGATATGGTTTCACTGTAAGGCTGACGACACCTCTTTTCCTTAGCCAACCGTTGAGCCCGTCGATAAAAAACCACACACATCGTCGGTACAGCTGTGTCCACCGCATTGTTGATTGGTACTTATCGTTCTCCCCCACGGCTGCCGCGTAGCATACCGCAGTACCCCCCCCCCCCCCCCCC